TAACAAATTACTATCGATTTTTGTAACTTAAGCCAAATTTTTTCTGAATCACATGACCGAATCAGCTGAATGTTTGATGAAAGATCTAATGCTAAAATAATACTAAATTATGTGTGGTATAACAAATGACTATCGATTTTTATAACTTAAGCTGAATTTTACCAAATCATATGACCAAATTGGCTGAATGTTAACCGAATGGTATTAGTGCTGAATGAAATGATTTCGACTAGTGAGTGTAGCTCGACGAATCAATCGAAGATTTAACACAGCATATTCATCTTACCAATGCGAGTTGAAATGGAGGAATTTAGTACAGGATTATAACGTAAGTAAATAAATGAATAACAATATAATGATAAATATAACTTAACAGTATAATTAATATCTTTTAAGATTTTTGCGATTATCGAAATGGAGCGAGAAGAGGTGGAAGGTGGACCTTTACTATGGAAAGATTATATAACCTCTTCAGGACTCAATTCTGGGATAGGCCAGGTAATAATTAAAAAGTTTAAATGATTTTTTAGATTTATATTAATATATTTACTTTTTTAGAATCGAGGCACACTCATAGGAGAAATCATAATTTGCCTACTACAATGCAAATACGAAATAGAAGGTAAAACTATGACGAGCTTACAAGATTAAACTAAAATAGATGGCAAAATTGTGATGCGCTTGCAAGGCTATAAAAATTTCATTTTTTTTCTTATTGTTCGTTTAATTTTATTTTTTTTCATATCGTTCATTTTTTCTTTTTATATCATACGTTTAATTTCATTTTTTCTTTTTCATTTTTTCATTTCGTTTCATTTTTCATTTTGTTTCATTTTCCTAATTTCATTTTATAGTTTTGTTTCAGTTTCTTAATTTCATTTTTTTCGTTTCGTTTAGTTTTCTTTTCAGTTCATTTTTATTTTTTATCTTATTTTTATTTTATTTTAAAAAAAATTTAAATTAATAAAACTGTCGTACAATAATTAACAGATTGCATGTTAAAATAAAATGACTAGAATTTACAAAATATTTCTGGAAAAATTATATCATAGTAAAATTATATTTGTGTAATGAAATCAGTAATCATCTACTATAATGAATAATTCGTTAACACTATAATGAAGATTCTTATAATAAAGTCCTGATCAGCTGGATCAGCAACTTCATTATATTGAGGTGTAACTGTACTTTAAAAAAGGTTTCAAAATGGAAATTGAAGAATGATTATTCATGAAACTATATGTTTTTACACATATTATTAAAGATCTCACCAAAATGTAAGTAATGTGTTGCAACTTGTTAACTTATTAATATATCTTTTGTAATTTGATATAATTCTGTTTTCAAGCATGGAATTGTGCATTTTGATACAATTAAAGATGTAAGCCTATTTTTTATGGAATGTGTGAAAAGCATGTCAGACTATCTAATAATGTTATTAATTTTCAACTGTATACAAATTCAGAACAAATTAGGAAATTGTATATCCAAAGATTCAAATGCCTGATATAATTAATCTAACTGAAAGTGTTGATATAAAAAAAGAAAAGATAACTGATAATATGAAAAATGATATTTAAAATGTTTATTTTTTGGTTGTTAAAGTATGATTTAATGATTCATTAATCTAATAAATTTTTGCTGTTATATCTTTTATAAAAATTGCAGATCTTAGTTAGAGAAGTAGACACCCAAATAAGAGGAGCTACTCTTGAGCTCGAGATGAATAAAATTAATGATAAAAAATTAATCCTTAATGTAGAAGGGGTTAAGGTTAGTCTTTACTAAAAAAAAAAGGATCTTAAACTATGATTTATTAACAGTTTTCACCTCTTATATCAACAGTATGAGACCTTTTGGTCTACATTAATTACTCATCCAAGCACTTTACTTGGAATAATGTTTGAAGATGAAAAGACAATTAATAAAAAAAATGAATTTTTTTTGCTCGAGATGATTGAGATGATAAAGTCTTTTTATATATTCTTCAATATTACCATAATAACAAGATATATTAGCCAGATTTGAGTTAAGAAGTTTTAAGAGAAAAACTTTTAGATGAATTAGAGTTTTTCAAATTTTTATTCATGAACAATAATTTGTAGATCAGCTTTAAGGATTAAATATCATTTATTTGTGTACTTCAGTTACAAATTGCATTTGCTTTTTCTTGCTTAAGTTTTTAAGAAATTCTTTATTATTAATATTGAACACATTACTTTACTTTGCTATATAATTTTCCTTCACTATGTAAAAAATTTTTTTCTCTTCATAGTATTTAATTAGTTCACATATCCTTTCTTTTTAAATTGATAATAATAATGTTAGATTCTGTCATAATTAATTTTAAAACTTTTTATTTTTAATTGGGCTTAATATAGCTTTGAAGAATTAATACGACAAATTATTTGGTATTATCATAAAAATTTGGTTAATAATCATCATATGATTTATGCTGTGTGATATGAATTTTATTAAATAGAACTTTTTTGTCAAAATTGATTATAATAGTAAATTGTATATTAGACTTTAAAATCTCAGGCATTAAAATTGTATATCAGGTATAAGAATGCTAATAGTTATAGTCAAAGGTTTCTGATTGACCTGTTGACTGACTAATTTTGACTGATTTTAACTGACCATTTGATCAAACATTTTTTAATTAGTAATCCAAGAATTCTTTGCATTTAATTAACAATTATTTTATTTATGTAATTTTTATAAATAAAAATTTTTAATTTATTTTTTAAAAAAAGTTCATGATAATTCTATAAATATGAAAGTAATCTTAACATGCATATCGAGTAAGCCTAAAAGAAATAAGTAAAATATATAAAAATTTAGAGTTTTAGTAAATATCATATTAGCATTATTTAAAGCTTAAATTAAAATTAACAATCAAGAACTTTAAATTATATTATTATTATATGAGCTGGTCAACTGATCAATATAACTGGTTAGTTGATCAAAGGTCTTTGACCGATTGTTGACCGACTATGACTGAATGTTACTATCACTAATCAGGTAATTTTTATTTATGCTATATTGTATTATATTAATTATAAATAGTACAAGTTTTGTAATATGTTTAATTAGTTTTATTAATAATAATTGATTTTTTAGGGATGTTAACAGTTAAAGATAAACCAGTTTTAAACTGGTTGTATAACTGAACTGATTCAGTTTGATTTCAAGATTAAGAATCACAATAAATATCAGTTTTTATCACATGATTCAATATGGTTAAACCATTAGTTTAACTGACGGTTTAACTGAATTTTTAGCTGCAGTTTCAATCATAGTTGATAATTTATTTAGAAGAATATAAATAATAAAGTTTTTATCATTATTTATCTAAAAAGAATTCGAAAAAGCATTAGTTTTTGAAACCAAAAAAATAGAATTTTAATAACAAAATTTTTGTTTTGCATATTAATTGATTCTATTATTTATTACAATAATGATATATAAATAAAATAAAAAAATAAAACTACAAATCGAATAAATTTATAATTGTTAAAGTATGCTTGCTTTTGGCCAGATATAGTTAACCTATAACTGTTGATCCTAAATATTGTGTAAAGGTAGCAAACTTCGTTTAGGAAAAAAAAATTTTTTTTTTATCAGAAAAAAAAACTATAAAAAAAACTGAATGTGAAATTAAAGAAGGAAATGGAAAAAGAAAAGGAATAACAATAGTTAAAGAGAGTGACAGTTAAAAGTTTGTTTTAAAAAAAAGAATGTCAATAGTTGGAATAATAATTAGGTTTTTTAAAAAAAAGAATTCTGTAGAGGAGTTTACAGTTTGTGAAGGTGGTAATGCAGATCTTCGTGAAGAAGAAGTATTGGAAGAACAAGAATTATTTAAATTTTCTAGTAAAGTAAATATAAAATTTAGTTTAAAATAAGTTTAAAATATTTGAAACTTAAATAACAAAACTTACGGCGCTCTAATTCAGATTACCTTCTTTCTTCTACTTAACAAGCTAAAAATAAAAAGTTTGAATTTAACTATAAATATCAAACAGAATACATTTTTAAATGCTTACCAGGTTTTTTCCAAAATGGAATTTTAAATTGCTTTCCATATTTTTCACCAATTTTACTCCACCTTCCTTTCAGATTTTCTTTCACATAAAATTCAAATAACTAAAAATATTAATTGTTTATAATTTTTATTTTATAGCATTAGATCATTTGCTTTCTTAATCAGGATTTTACTTACTTTACAATCCTTAATTATCCCTTTAAACTTTACTTGGTATTGTACTGCTGTTAAATTCTTTGATCTTCTCCGCAACGTCTTTCTAAAAAGGTTACTTTGATCTTTTAAGCATAAACTAATATTCTTCATTTCTGTTTCTTCTTTTATCGATCAATAATTTAACTTCATTATCGTTTCAATCAATTGTGTTTGGCATTTTTGATAAATTGAAAATTTAAAAATTGTTAAATTTAATTTTTTAACAATTAAAGAAAAAAGAAAAAAAATACTTATAAATTTATATAAAATTATATCGATATATGTCAGAAATTTGAAACATTTTCAAATGAGTAATTCTATTTAGTTAAAATTATCTAATTATTGTAAATTTAAATTGTAATTCTATTTTTACGCATTACGTGTATTCCAATTTATAAAATTATCTAATTACAATTTCGATAAAATTACTAAATTTTTATGTGAATTCAAATTTTTATTTCAGAAGAAAATACAATTTTCAATGATAATATTCTAATAATCACTACTGATTTACCTTTGATTTGGAATAAGTGCTGAAAAAAAAGACCAAATCGACAAAAAATTTTTTTTTGAAATAACAAATGATCTGAATCAGATGACCAAATCTACATCTATTTTATTTAGTAATTTTTTTTTAAAAAAAAAATCAAAAAGTTTTTTTTAAATTTACGTAATTTTTAATTAAAATTTCACAAAAATAATCCAATTTTATTATTCTAATTTATATTTAATGAGAACTTTATTTTAAAAAAAAATAGTTAAATTGGCATCAGAATCAATACTGTTAAATTATCATTTTAGTAAATAATACAAAATTATTATATTTAAATGCGAAATATTAGATCCTTAATCACATTTTTTCACTCAACATATCAGACAATAAAAATACTAGTATAAACTTTGAAGAAATAGAAGACTTTGATTTTGATTTTGATTTTAATGATAATACAAATGAACTATCTATTCCTGAACAACAAAAGGAAGATAGCATGAATATACTTAATATTGATAAGAATAAAGGAAAAACTACTTTAGCTGTTTAGGAATATATGTATAAAAAATATGATGATACAAATAAAGTTGTAGTAATAATTTGTAATTTGTATAAAAAAGAGTATAGTCCTAAAACATCAACACGACTTCTAATGGATCATATAATAAAGCAACAAACGTGACTTTATTTTGTTAAAAATCCATAGGTAAATTTGATGCAATAAAAGTTAAAGATTGTACAAATGCCACTATTGATTTTGTTGTTAGATCTCAAATACCATTTTCTATTATAGAAAGTTCTTGGTTTAAAAAGTTATGTAATATTCTAGATCAAAGATATATTTTACTATCATGTCAATATTTGCAAAAACAAATAATTAATAGATTTGTGGATCATTGTTCTTGATTGCCGATGAACTTAAAAATCTCTTAATAAAAGTATCTCTTACTACTGATGTTTGGACTTTAATTACAAATCAAGCTTATCTGGAAGTAACTATTTATTATATTGATGATGAATGGAATATGCGACATTTTCTTCTTGATTTAATTCACTTTAAGCATCATCATACTGTCGTTAGAAAAAGGAAAAACTTTTTCAATTAATAGATGAAATGAATCTTAATGGAAAAATTCTTTCTTTTACTATGAATAATTATGCAATAATGATTCTTTGTGATAAAAATATGATAACTGAATTTTGAGAAACTTGAAATGATGAAGAGTTTTAACATTTCCGATGCACAGCACATGTTTTAAATATTGCAATTAATCATAGAATGCAATTAAGAACAGAAATTATTGATAAGATTAAAACATTTGTAAATAAAATCTATCATTCTACTATTCTTTGTGATGCACTTCACAGTTATTGTAAGGTAATAAAAAAGGATTATCTTAAACCTAATCTTGATATCACTACACGATATAATAGTACATTTTTAATGTTAGAAAAGTTTAAACGAATGCATGAAGAACTTGATTTTCTTGTTTGTGATAACAAACAGTTGGAGACATTTTATCTTAATGAAAATGAATGAAATCAAGTATAGTCAATGATCATCTTATTAGAACCAATGTATAAGGTAACAAAAATTCTTTCTTTAAGTTCGTATCCAACTGTTAGTGATATTAGATTAACTTTTACAGGAATTCTTTGACATATTGAGATATATATTAATGATCACATATTAGAAGAATCCATTATAGCAGATCCTATACATAAAAAATTGATAATTATTGGAAGATACTTGATTTCTCTACAACTATTCCAACTATTCTTAATCTAAGTTCAAAATTACTTACTTTTCCATTTGAAGAACAATGTGATAAAGTAATAAGTCAATTTCATTTAAGAATGCTTATGTATACACCATCACAAGATTTAGATAATTCAAATTATATTGTAGAAAAAAATACAAATTCTAGATCATTTTTTGAAAATTTAATTATGCAACAACAAAATAAAACACAACTATTAGAAGGAGAATTAGAAAGATATTTGGCTTTACTATTAACACAGTCTGAATCCTTATCTTAGTAGCATCAATATGCAAACAAATTTCTGATTTTATCAAAAATGGCACATAATTATCTTGCTATTCAAGGTATTAATGTACCAAATGAGCAAGCATTTTCAGTTGCATCATATACTATAACAAAAGTCTGAAATCATCTTAATCCTAATATAGCTCATGTTTCTTTGTGTTTAAAAAGCTGGATAGAATAAAATGCTGGTTCAGTTAATAATAAAATTGTTTGAACTTGTTATTTCCAGTTTATAGTATTTTTAATAATGCTATTTTATCAATAAAATATAATAAACAAATTTATCAAACAGATTACATTTTTTTTAAATAATTATCAAATTTATTTTAAATTTTTTTTTCAAAACAAAGGATTTTTTAAAATACAAACTGCAGTTATATTAATTAACCAATGAAAATTCAAACACGTGATTAACTGAAGTTAGAATCATAGTTACAAGTGCAGTTTTAACTTCAAATAACAAATTGAAGGTCAGCTCAATTCAAAGACTAAATTAGCAGTTTTTGAACTGAATTGAACTGAGTTAAACTGATAACATCCCTATAATTTTTATGTTTTTTTTATTATTATATTATTATTTGTATTAGAATCGAAATGTTCTTGCAAAGGTTTTTTATTCATTAATTGTGAAGTATTACTAAACTTATTATATAACTACAGAATATAATATAATATTATAGTCAATATATAATATTTCAAAATATAATAATAAATATAACATATTTTCTATCTTGTATTTTTATCATTATAAATATCAGAATTTATTGTTTTAATTACAACTAATGATTTATAAATTATGAAATTAGCTGTAATCTTGAAATAATTAAATTAAGAATTTTTCTTATTTTCTCTTTTGTTACTTTAAATATTATGAACTCCAATTGATAAATTATAACTAGAAATTACCATTACCTTAACTTTTTTATTACCAGCATCAAATATTTATTGGTTAGTTATATATATTACTTCATAAATAATTTAAAATATTACTTTTAAATATTGTTAACGTGTGATTTTTACAAACTACAATGGTAGATGAGACATTCGAGTGGTTACTTTTTATTGATAGCTTACTGAGTTCATTAAAATAATTGTAATAATATGTAAATTTTTAAGTAAAAGAACACTTTATAAATCATAAATTATGTAGCAATTAATCATTATTTTTCCAATATTACGCATGTAAAATAAGTTTATTAAAGATAAGATATGTATAAGAATAAAAAAATAAAAGAATAATGAAAAGATAAATAAGTACATTAGCACTAGGCTAAAGAAAATTTAACCCAACTTTTACAAACCATCCTATTTATATAAAATAATTTACATAGAAAGATAAAACTAATATATTATACATATCTAATAAATCAAATATATCTATTATGTCTAACTTGTCTAATATGTCCTATTTGTTGAACATGTCAGATATGTCAGAAATGTCAGTTATGATGGCACCATAATTAAGAAGTTGCAACTCGGTAAGTTGCAACTCCTTGTAAATATATTTTAATATAAAAATTCATAAAATATTGCAACTCAAAATGTTGCAACTTAAGTTGCAACTAGTTAAAAATTTTAAAAATAATTATGGGAACCATCTTTAATATAGATAAATTTTATATATTAATGAAAAGTATAAATAATGAGACCTTAACTAAGTGTTAGGCAATTAGATAATTTTGAATAGTTTTAGATAAGTTTTAGACATAATTTTATATATTGAAAACCTTATCCAAAATATTTAAATTAAAAAATATGTCCAAAACCTATCACTACCTTAATTTAATTTATTTTCTTATTTAATATACCTATTAGATATAAGTTATAAAGGATTTTAAGATTTTAATTATTTATTATTATCTAATAGTTAAAATATCAGAAGTTTCTTATATCATTAAAGTTGTATTTTTATTATTTTATTATTATTTTTTTTTTTGAATTTGTAAAGAAAAAATAGAATTAAAATCTTTATTCTTTATATTATTATCTTTAAAAATTGAATTGCAGAACTGATCTACAAATCTACAAAATGATCAATAGTTAATTAATATTAGTGTAATTAAATTAATCAAATAAATTGAAAAACAAATTTAGCATTAAATTGATTAATATAACAAATACTTAAATGTTAGTAAAAATTAAATCACAGATATATACTATTGATATTGTAATTTTATTTAAATCATTTTAATTAAGGCAAGATGAAATAAATTTTTCAGTTTTCATAACCTGGCCGGATCATTGGAACAGAGTTCAGTAATTTTTTTTTTAAAATAATTGACCAAAAGTAATGCTCTATACAATTTTACGTGATTGATTTATCTATCACTGAAACTTAAATTTAACCTTAAATTTTACAGTCAGATTAATATTCGGGTTGATCCTTTATATTCAAGTTTTATTTAGAAATTCAGAAGCTAATTTTTTCTCCATTTTTTCTTACCTTTACCACCCTGTTTTCACATTAAACATTTCTTTGAAATAGTGGTGTGATTAACACAGTCACTGCAACATGGTTGTTCACCTTTTGCTTGCTTATTAACATTTAAACTTCCACATTCAATGCAAACGTCTGAATAGATTCTGGTTGAGTAATATGGTTTTTTAACTTGCAATGCACAAGATCACGAATCATTAACGAAAACCCTTGAAAAAAGTTCACGAACTGCATCTTCTGCATTATTGCTAGTCTCTGCTTTCACATTATTATTGGACTCTTCATCTTCGTCTTCGCCTTTACTTTCTGAGTCTTCAGATTCGTTCTCTTCATTTTTATCATATTCATCCTTATTTGTTGTTTCTTGATCATTAACTTCTTTGTCACAACCAATCTTATTTCCTATGTGTATGTCTGATTGTTTTTACGACACAACCTTTGTAAGGTCATATGTATTATGAAATGACATACTACAGGTATAAAGGATTATATCCAAGAATCCTTGTAGTATCGTCTTGTCTTCTTCTGAAAGTTTTTTTGTGCTAAATAAAAGATGCGGCTTTTCACATTCAAAGCAATTTACAATGACACTAATATTTCTTGCACGCGTAGCAGAAGGGTAAAATGGCATAGTATGTTTTGCACTTTTAGTTTTCATTTTGCCTTTTTTTGTTCTCGTTTTAGCATTATTAAGTGAAGGTCTGTAATCGTCTGTTGTTTGCTTGCCATATAACTCTTCAAATAACTTGTAATGTAAGTCATCCCCAGGTACTGGATCTGGAATACAATGAAGCTGTTCGAAATCTTCTGGTGAGCAGCGAGGAGGATGACAAATAGTATGGGATGATTCACTGCATTTTTTGATTAAAAAGAAATAGTGTTTTACCATACAACAATAGTTTAAAAATTCTTGCAGATGTGGCTTTAAACAAAGATATGTTATTCTATTTTTTTTGCATAATGATTCATTCAAATAGCATTTTACTTACCTTTCATTTTATATGTTCTGCAATATGGTCTTCATGAGTAACACTATCATCAACAAGTAGAATAGTCTCCCAAAATCTTTCCATTTTGTTTCCGATGCTGCAGTGAATGTTTTGAACAGTTCATTCTTAAGAGACTGACAACTGAATATACTACGAATCAAGCAAATTGGATCTTGAAGACTTTTAATAAGATCCTTCTTCAAGTTAGGATTTTCTTCAGCAATCTTGCAAATCTCATTTATTATACCGGCCCATTTATTAGTTTTTCTGATTGATCGTTCATTTTGATTCACATTAACCCAATACCTTGTAACCCAAGATTCAGAATCGACATAATATGTTCAACAGGATTTTTCCATGAATATTGTGGTGGAGTCCGAATAGCAATAAAATAGTCAAGGTCTAATGCAAGAAAAAGACAAATATAGGAGAGCTGAACATGGGTATATGTGCATTGATGATCTGATCCACCATCCATATAAATACACAGAATAGATTTATTGATGAGTTCTTCATCAAGAAGTATGTGATATAATTCTGTTGCATGATGAATAGGTGAGGAAGGCTGAAAGATTGGGTCCTTTAATCTAATATATACTTTTCCCATATAGAAATCAACATTTATCGAATCGGGTATATTACATATCATTGTTACACTTGGTATGATTCCTGTTTTTGTGTAATCATGATCCACAACTGCAAATGTAGTATCTTTACTGACCACAACTTTCTTTTCTCTTTCTACTGCAGCAACGGGAAATCCAGGCTCTCTAATCTTACATCAATGTTTATCATCTAAAAAGACAAAATTTGTGATCTTATGAAATTTCACAGCAAACTCCTTCTTATAATGGAACAATGCTGATGCATAATGAGCATCCGGATGATAAGTCCGTAATTGACGTGTTTGAACTATGAATTTTAAAGATAAGCATCCAGTAAATTGCAAACTACTAAGTCGGGTTGGATTTTAGGCCAAAATTGTAACTTTAACCATTGTGCACTTGGGATAGATATTTCAGATGAACATTCATGTTTAATCTGATGCAGAAGATCATTTACTGAAATTGCAGTTGCATGATACACAATTGGGTCTTGTCTACATTCATCTATAATAGTTACAGCATCTGCTACTTTACTTGCTAAAAATCGAGCTGCAGTTTCCCAGAAAGCATCATATTTACCAGGTCTTCCATCATTATGTTCACGTAAATCAATAGTAATTTCGGGATCTCCAAGTTCTAAAGCAAGTTTGATGTGTTTATCTACTTTCGCTTCATTTAGGTTCTCAGCTGCAGAAATGTTACCTATTAACATTCGATAAATTGTTCGAAGTGCTGATGGCTTGGCTTTTATAAGAAGCAAATCGCAGGTACGTATATAATTGGTTCGCATTGTTCGAGTATAAAAGTGAGGTGCATCAGCTTGCAATTCACTTACAATTCGCTTGTTTTCTTATAGTGTAGTTACCTCATCGGCTTGTTTATCGAATTTCTATATTGAAATTACATTAAAAGCATTATTATCAGAATTAAATCGATATTCTCCAATTTTGAAGGAAAATACATGAGATAAATTCTGGATATAACACATTCTTTGACTATAATTATAATTATTTCATTAGTTATATATACTAACAATTTTTAATATTATTCCCATCTACTTACACAGGATCGGTCGGTAGGTATTCTTCAATATCAACTGGCTTCTAAGGTGGTAAATTAGTGAGCAATTGTATAAGATGACAGTATTTGTTTTTATCAATGGCTGTAACCCAAACATTTTGCTTGTAGACTTTAATTGTTATAGCTTGATCGATAGTTCATATAGGAGTATCAGATGCATGATTTATAGCAGTAACTTCACATTGATGTTGTAAAAATCCAACATAATTTGAAATAGCAATAATAAGATGATCAAATGCATCATGAAGTCAGTTAAAATTTGCCGTTAACATCTATAAAAATGTAGCATACAGAGCGAGAGCTTGGCAATGCAAATTAAGATCATTTGCATCAAAGTGATTTCGTGATTGCTTATATGATTCTGGATTTGCATGACCAAAAAACTCAAGAAAAAGTTCAGGTATGTGATAACTACATTCTTCAAATTTTTGGTGATTTCGCATATCAATATATCAAATCGCTTCTAAAGATGGGAACTGTAATTAATATGTTATAACTTTTAATATTGCAACTTACGTTGCAATTAGTTTTAACCTATATATGTTGCAACTTATAATGTTGCAACATATGTTGCAACTAATTTTAGCTTATGTTGCAACATTTTGTAAATTTGAAATCAATTGCTGTACCATCTTTAATCGCTTCAGTTAAACTAACAATAAATTGCTTCCCTTGATTGTTAGCATATGATTTAGTAGACCATCTTCCATTATGACAATGAATCTAACTAATGAGATTGCTGCGTAATGTTAACTTATGATTTATCTTATCTAATTGTGAGAAAGTTGGCAAATATAATCGGGTATGACATGCATTTTGCATTAAAATCGTAAGGCTGTTTTATTGTGATAATAAATCAAAAATCATATTGTCATCAACTCTAAGCCAATAATGTATATGTATTCCTACACTTGTCGTAAGTTCTATAATATTACAATTAAGGCTGGCTTGGATTATAACTGATACTGGTATTTCACTTAACTCAACATTTTCTATTGTTTCAGAGTTTGTTATAGCAATATTGCATTCGGGAGATATTTCCTTATTTACAAGTTTAACAAAAAAATTTTTGATTATTATTTCATATGGAATAGGATAAATATACCATCTATGAAGAGGTTTTGACCCTTTGGATATCTGAATATTTGCAAAAGGCATTGTTGTTAAAGTTTTAAAAAAGGCTTGTTAAAGGACTCGAAAAATCGTTATAATATGTTACCACTTTTTTTTTGTTAGCTTATTTATGCAAATGTGAATTTACACATTTTAATTTTACCTAAAAGTGAAAGGTTACTCAGAATTATACTCAAAAAAGAAAATTTGCTTAGGAATACAATCAGAAAAGGGAAGTTGTCTTAATTTCATAAAATTTATATGGATTTATTAATACAAATAGGCTTTTAATGCATTTTAATTTCACTTAAAAAAGTAAAGCCACTTAGGGATGCGGTTAGAAAAGAGTTGTTTGAATTGCAATTAGAAATAGGACATTAATTTATTGATCGATTAATCGTTCTAATTAATCATTCTTTTTAAAAAATAATCAATTTAGATTATTTTTTTTTCTTTGATTAATAATTTGAAAAAAGTTTATTATATGAATACGTAGTATAAAATTTTTAAAATATGAAATTTTTAGCCAGATAACTGGATTGTGAAATATCAAAAATATCCAATAAAATTTTTTGATTAAAAAAATTTTTTGTTATTAATAATAAAAAGCCGGGCGGCCGGGTCATGTGAAATCAAATTTTGATATGAAAACTGAAAAATTTATTTTGTCTCGCCTAATTAATTTATTTATTTTATTCTATTATATTTATTTGATTTTATCATTATTATTAATAATTATTTTATTTATTCAAATTAATATATTATAATAGAGGATAATTTTAAATAAATAAAATTAAAAAACATCAGATTGTAAAGAAATAAAATATTTTTAATAAAATAAATCATTTAGTACAAATATTTTATAAAGGTAATACTAAGCTTTATTTATTAATTGTTTTATTTAATACATAAAATTTTCATATACTTTTTACCTTTAAGTTAAATCTTATATATATAATTTACTTATTAAGGGAACTTTTTATATATAAATATAAATCACTTATATTTTTGTCTAAATAATATAAAAGACTAGCATAATAATATCAAAATATTCATGATAAATATATCTAGCTTAAATATTTCTATTTTTTACTATTACTTTATCAGCTAATATTTTTTAGATTAGATAATTTAAGCAAAATTATTATAAACTTATTTTGGATTTGGATAATGTTTAAACCTTAGTTTTACTATTTTTTTAAAAAGTTTTTAACCATTTTTATAAGCTTTAATATAGTTTAACATTTTTGAATTTGCAGTTTTCAACCAAGTTTTACCTTTACAATTTAAATGATTGGCTATTATATAGGTTTCATCTAGCAATTTTACTAATGACCCATTTATTTTTGCTTGAATTATAGCATTTTGATTATAAAGACTAAATTTAGATAACATTTTTGATTATTAATAATATTAATTGATGATTTTAGATTAGTTTTAGTTACTGTTTTAAGACTAATATTTCTTATTGAACTCAGATTTATAAAGGGTCATTCATAGATCATCTAAGATCAAGCATAATAAATAATTTTTTTAGTGTAAGATCATCCATTATTAATATAAGATTTCATTAGAATAAGGGTTAATAATTCTTTGAATATCTTGAAAATTACCAGCACCTCTATGCAATAAAATAAGAAAGAATCTCTAGCTTATATAAATTGAACTATTAATATTTGCTATATCTTCTACTAAAAAAAATAATCAGCAATACATTCTTAGATTTTCTTAAGCATATTCATAAGATCTTCAAACTATTAATTAATACTGGGAACGTCCCACCATGGACAAAAATTTATAAAACAAATCTTCCGGATAATCTGATTTTTTTTTCTTTTTGATCATGTAGTCAACGTGATTCTATGTATCATTACAATCAAACTATTTTTCAATATACTGGAGTCAACTTTATTGGCACAAACTGCGGAATGTTTAATTACGTTAAATTTGGTCAAACGTGCTCATCGTCAAAACTTTAAAATTAGTTCTTTGAGGTCAATTCGATTTTAGATTTCACAAACCCACATCTTTTATTTATGATATATAAATCATGTGATTTCCAATTATAAACTTTTAAAATAAAAATATAAATAACAATTCTATGAAAAAAATAATTAATGATGAATGAAAATAATTAAACAAATATAATATATGTTGTATAAAATGTATATATATACATAAAATGCTTTTTTTTCTTTAAATAAAAATACAAATAAAATATTAAATTTACTTTTTAGCACGCTCAATTTGGTTCTTTCTCTCTAAAGCATCAGCATTATCAGGCTCAAATCGCAAAATAATTTCTAAATCTTTAAGAGCAACATCAAATTCGCCCAATGAAGAATAAATTATACTTCTTTCAGTTAAAGCCAAGATATCATTAGGTTCTCTTAAAAGAATTTTGTTTAAATCCGCCAAAGCTTCTTGATCTCTACCTAAAATATGATATACGGCTCCTCTATTACATAAAGCTTTGGTTTCATAACTAATATTAAAAGCTTTGTCTCTAATATTTGTTATGGCACGATCCAAATCCAACAATGCTTGTGTATGAAATTTCATGGAACGATAAACTGCACCACGTAAAGCCAAAGGATAACCCCAATTCGGTAAAGATTGTAAAACTTGATTTAAATCATATAAAGCATCATCATTACGACCTAATGCGGCTAAAACTTCACCACGATAAGATAAGGCCCAAGAATTATTTGGATCTAATTCTAAAGCCAAATTTAAGTCCTCAAGAGCATCTTCATGTTTTTTAAACACATTATATAAAGCTCCACGAGTTTCCAAAGCGAAAATATTCTTTGGATCCAGAGATAAAGCTTTATTTAAATCCATTAAAGATTCATTATTTCTTCTCAACATGAAATACACAGCACCCCGATTTGTCAAAGCGAAAACACTTTCAGGATTCAAATAAAGAGCTTCGTCCAAATCTTTTAAAGCTTCTTCATAACGTCGGAAAGTTCTATTGACGGCACCTCTACTTTCTCTTGATATAGTATCATGAGGTTCTAGGTTGATAGCTTCATCTAAATCACGTAATGCTTTTGTACCTTCTCTCAACATGCGAAAAACTTCTCCCCTTCTTGAAAGAGCGTAAACATTTGAAGGATCAATCTCCAAACATTTAGTAAAATCTTGAATAGCTTTATCAAAATTTTGTAATAATCTATGAATTTCACCACGGTTTTTTAAAACTTCAATGTCATGTGGTTCAATATCTAAAGCAGCATCATAATCAATGATAGCTTTGTCATAATTTCCGAGTAAATGTAATATTTCGCCTCTACATTTCAATAAGGTAAAGTTCTTTGGTTCTAATTGGAGGGCCACATCCAAATTAACTAACGCATCATCATTATTACCAAATGATAACAATATTTCAGCCCGATTTTTATGAGCAAAGAAACTACGTGGATTTAATTGAATGATTCTCTCAAAATCAGCCAAGGCTTCATTTTCTTGTCCCAACGATCTTAACACTGCACCACGCCTTTCCAAAGCCAAACTATTCTCCCCTCTTGCCAAAGCCATATCTAAATCTTTTAGGGCATCATCAAATCTACCAGTTAATCGGTAAACTTCACCACGATTTGCCAATATGTTCGAAGCTTGAGAGGGATCTAATATTAATGCTTTACTTAAATCAGCGATAGCATCTCTATAAATATTGAGCGAACAATAAACCTTTGCCCTTCTCGTCAAAGTGAAAATACTTTTTGGTTCCATCTCTAGAGCGGTATCCAAATCGTTTAATGAATCGTCATATCTTGCAAGAGCGCTATAAACCTCAGCTCTAGTCCTGAGGGCAAAAGGATGTTTTTGTATCTTTAATGATTTATCTAAATCAATTAAAGCTTTATCATAATCACCCAACAAACGGTAAACTTCACCACGAAGTGAGTAAGCTTTTGGTTTTTTTGGTCTGCGGTTAATAGCGATGGTTAAATCACTGGTAGCTCTCGCCCAATCTTCTAATTGATAAGAAGCATACGCTCTATCACATCTTACTGAATAACTATTCGGATAAGTGATAAGTACTTGAGAAAGTAAACGAATCGCTTCATGAAAATGCATCTCTTCCAACTCCTTTGTTGCTTGTAAATAAATCTCGTTCGTTTGTTTTGATTTCCTGAAAAAGCTAAAACTGAATCGATGAGGTTTTGTAAGTGGTTTGCTTGATTTAGAAGGTTGAAGAGGCATCGAGATTGGTCTTTTCCTTGAAGTTTTTGGCTTATTGTTATCATTTTCAAATTGAAATTGGGAATAAGGAGAGGTAAAATCACTCGGTAATGATAAGACTTTGTTAGATCTACCGTTATTAGTCATGTTAAATTGACTAGTGGCATTAGTCAATGAATTTGTACTGCCTTCATTAGTGAAAAGGTACGGTATACTATTAGGCAATGATATATTGGTAGAAGAGAAGGGTCGCTTGCTCAATGAATTTTCAACATTTAAAGATTTGCTACTCATGTTAACGGCATTACTTTGATTAGAATATATGCCACTAGCATTATCAGACGTCGGTGATACTGGAGCATCAGGATTCGCAGTTTCAATTCTCGGAATAAAATTACCATTACCATTTTGTTTAACACTACATACGCTAAAATCCGAATCGGAGTCATCCGTTGGTTTAGCATAAGTGGAATAATCAACTTTGTACGAAGAAAAATTGATTTGTATATCAGGAGGATTATGAGATGATGATAAATCATTATTGATGACATTAATATTGGTGGCAATCGGAGGAGCAGCATGTTTGCCATTAGAACCTGATTTGGTATTATAAAATAGAAAATGTTCCTCACGGGTTGATTGACGTTGATCGTGAGGTGAAAATTGAATTTGTGACGTTGGTTGTCTTTGAACGGTAGAAATAGTAGGAAATTGATTTGAAGCCACATTCATCATAACTCTTTGTATATTATTTGAATCAAATGAATTAAACGAATTTTTTACACTAGGAGTATCATTTTGATTTACAAAATAGTTGTCATTATTATTAATACCGGGTGACTGATATCCCGAATCTTTGGAAAATGAATTTTGTGAAGGTGGTAATTGTTCTCGAGGCGTTGGTTTGATAGAGACTTCATTATCTGAAGAAGAGATTAACGAAACCTTACTAATCTGTTTTTTGATTCCTTTAAGCCCTTGAGTAATAGATGGAAGGAATTTTGAAATACTATGATCATTCTCGGTTTCTAGATTAGCATCATCAACAGCAGCAGCAGCAGCTTTATCGGAAATAATGCTACCAGAAGAGGCGGTACTCAAATTGATATTACTTTGAGAGTTAAGGTTAGGAATATCGCTGGTGGTAATAATGGTATCCGTGTTGACACTGATATTAACAACCTTGACATTATTGAATGATTGTTGGGATTCATTTGATGCAACTTTCTCATTTTCACCAGCAGTTCCGAGAACAGAATCTCTTAATTGCACGTTAAATGGTGCTTTTTTTGTTTCTTGAGCATGATATTTGGTGGAAGGAGTACTTTGTGAACGGGAATGAGAAGGTGAAGGTGAATGCGTTGGTGGTGGTGGTGGTGGTAAATGTTGATGTAACTGAGTTGGTGAATTCCTTTGTGAAGAATAATAAGCTAATTTGATATCATTTGCCGGTGAAATTAATACATCAGGAGGAGAAGCGGGTTCAATTGAAGATAATTCATCATCATCATCATCATCATCATTACTAGTATTAGAATCTTCTACAGAACTATCATTATCAGGAATAAACTGAAGTGGATGTTTAGAAAAGAAACCATCATGTAAACTACCACGTTTATCATATTTATTATTATTATATTTATTTAAATATTTCTTTCTAAAGACCTTTTCATTATTGTTAGCATTCAACACGTTTCCATCAATTTCATGTTGTTCAACCGTAGCAGTTGGAATTTTTTGTAAAAAAATTGGATTACCATCGACGATCGAGGATGAAGCAACGGGCACAGGTGACGAAGCTTTGGTAGCATTTTGAAAATACTGATTATCATGTTTATCATGAGAAGGTTGCATGGGTTGCTGATTGGTCATTTGTGGTCCAAATTGAGTGTTGATTTTAGGTAAAAATGGTCTTGGATGAAATTGTTGATTTAATCCTTGTTGCGTATTAGTTATAACAGGCAATGGTTTATCTAAGTTAGTGGGACGCGTTTTACCCGTAAAACTTCCATTCTGGAGTTTTTCGAGTCGTCTTACTTGTTGCATTTTTTGTTGGTTAAAACTTGCATTACTAGTAGGATCAATAATATCATGCCACACATAATGTACGGTCTGCCCCGCTACACCATCGTGATATACTGAACTGTTATTATGATCATCATCATATCCCTATTTAAAAGAAATCAAAATATTTAAATTATGATTGATTAAAAAAAAAGGTTTTTTAACAAGATGAATTATATCGTTACCTGTTGGGATGGTGTTGTAATGTGATGATGATGCTTTGGTAGCGTATCTTGCTGTGATGAATTTTTTTTATTCTTTTGCCTGAATAGACGCATGATTAATAATATAAATCCTTTTTAATTCTTTATCAAGAAAATAAGAGTAAGTCTGTGTGTATTAACGAGAACAAAAAAAAGAAATATATTTTTTTGTACAGTCGTTTAAATAGGTAACAGGTTTATTAAAAAAAAAAAAAAAGTTTAAAGAAAAAATAGAAAACAGAGAGAGAAAGAAAATACTAAACTAAAAGAAAAAATCCACTATATTTATGACAGAGAAAAAGTCATCACCTAAAATTAGAAATCTGTGTACAATGAATCTATATTAAGCAACTTATTTGTAACATTTTCGGAAGGAAGTACGGTAAATAAAAAAATTAAATTAAAATTTTTGTGATTGTTTAAATTAATTTCTATTATGCATCCGTTCAAGTGCTTACGTGACAAATCAAATTTCAAATTTTTCTTTACAACAGATTTCACGACATTATAAGGTTTAAACAGCAAGCGAGAAACTCGCATTGTCGACTTTATTTAATACCGATTAGGAAAAATTATAATGATGACCTATTTCGTATGCTTGAATTTTTTTTTTTTTGTGTGATGTTTCCTTTTTAATATTTTTAATATGTCGATTATCCGAGAAAAGCAATTATTTAAAGTTAATTTTAACAAAAATGGCTAGTCGATCAATTTTGGTTCGAATAAACTGTGGGGTGCATGGGTCAAATGAGGTGTTGTCATAAATTTTTAAAATAACCAAAATAACCTATCGATAAAATAAAGCTTTTATAAAAACCTTTGTTTCAGATTATTTGGAAAATCCCTAGTTCTTTCTATAATAACGTTTCAAATATAAACCCATTCAAATGTATATTTCGTTAATAACTCTAAATTTATTTTTCCCGTTCCCCATTACCTATTTCAAGCATAAATTAAAATTGGCTTGCTTTTTTTTAAATTTATTCGTCACGTGATATGCAATCATATTTGGAAATCTCATAGTACTTTGTGAAAGATAGTACGGTGGAATATAAAAGTGCATGATTCGATGGTTTTTTTTTATATATTAAAAGTCCACAAATTTACAAATTCGTTTTATTTGTTCGGAGATTACGGAGTTTGACCCAAAAATTTCTAAAAAAAATTACATAATATTTATATATTTTTTTTTAATATATATTCGCTAAAGTAAATTTCCTAGTTTCACCTATTTTTAGTTTTTAATTTAGACATTATAAACGAAACGCATTTTTTTTTTTTTAAAAAAAATTTTTATGTAGTTGATCAGATCTAAGATAATTCTTTTATAATCATGTTTGGTTTAAAGATATGTATATATTTTTTATGAATGAATCACATCAAAAAATCCAATGTCTTAAAAAGTATAAATGACTGACAAAAGAATTGATTGTTCCGAAAAGCATACAAAAGGTAGTTGGTATAGATATATCTATTTATAGTAGTACGTATTATTAGCAAGAACCAAACTAATCATTTGAGGCGCTGTGAGAGGCCAAGCACGGTAGACAATGAACCAAAAACGTATATCTTTTGGCTGACTTATCTCTGTGAAATCTTTTTTTATTTTTGGATAAAAGTAAAGCAAATTAAAAAAATAAAATAAAAAATAATAATAAAAATAAACGAATAAAGTATCTTGTATATGATGTTTTGAAGACGCGAAAAAGAGATTTCTTGCCTAAAAAAGAGATCGGTTTCTGTTTATTTCAAAGAATAAAAAATTTACACAATCATAAAACAATCATTACGTACATAAAAATAATGAAATTAATATTTCCTTTTATTTTATTTTATTTTTTTTAAGAATTTGACAACAAAGAAAAAGAATAATATATATGGGGTTTTCATAGATGCGACGGTTTTAAACACACCTGCAGATCCTTTTGGGAATTTAACCACCCATACTATTCAAAATAAGAAAGAAGTGATTATCATGTGATGCATGTATCATAACAATACGCGTTTCTTAAATAACTTTGGATGAAAAATAATAGATCACGATCATCTGACCAATATCAATCAATATAATCAATGTTCAATTTTAATTTAATAACAATAAATGACAACAATAAATATTGATAGCAATAACAATAACGCATTAGCAATTAAAAAAATGCTTGTCATCCCATATACAACTTGTTTTGTCAAACATTTATGTCGATCCCTTTTTTCAAACCTTCTTTCAAAAACAAAGAAGCCTTAGGTAATATGAGTAGTTCCAATTTAAAACTTGTATACCTTCTTATAAATCAAACGATGCATACAATTGAAACTTTTGTAAGAGAGTTCCAGTTCCTAAACCTTAAAAAATCTTTGGAAGATTCTAATGTACGTACAATAGATAAGATGCTGGACAGCCCATTATTATCAAAATATTTGATCAAGTTACATGAATATGAGTTAAATTTACACATGAATATTTTTAAATATGTTGTGTACATAATGCGTTTGAAAATACCTACCTTCTGAAAGGTTTTCATAAATCCATCGAATTCATGTGAATTATGTTTCAAATTAGGCGAAAATTAAATCTTACAATGATTATTGATTTTTAGGTAATAAATTTAAAAATAGTCTAGGTAATTGATGTTTTTGGTAAAAATCCTGTCAAATTGTATCAATCTATTTTAGGTTAGGTGTGACTTTTGATTTCCTTTTTTGAACCTTCACGTTTTCATCAATTAGGATGAAATAATAACCATTAAAGATAAATAGGTTTAATGAAATAATTTCATTAGAAAGGTTTAGCGACCATTTAACAAGATTTATTTGATCAAATCTAATTACATTGCTGTTCTAATAATTCAAATAAGAAAAGACAAATTTCTTACAAGGAGAGAGAAAGTTGTGGAAAATGAGTTATATATTTTTATATATATACAAGAAGCCCTGTCTTAATTTGGAATTATGTCATAACCTGTAAGAGTTGCCATTATTCCCGTTATGACGAAAAATTAACTTTAATGGAATTGTTCTCCGCAAATTTAGAGGAAGGTCAGAAATGAAGTCATTTGATTTTGACCCCTTCCCCTCTTTGTCATTGAGAAATCCAATTTGGAAATTTAGAACGTCATCGTGAAATAAACCCCTTAAATCATTTCAATGGCTTTACCGAAAATAACTCGTCGTATGCCGTGGATGGTGTGTATTATGCTTTCATTCTACCCTTTTCGTGTTTCGCTATTTGTTTCATCTGCTCTTAGTCTAATATATACCGTGTGATTAAATAGAAATTTCAAGACGATATTATACAGAATTGCTAAAATTAATACACTTTTGACGAGTAAATCACATGTTGATGTTTTGGCAAGTTTGTCACTTGATTTTTTTTTTTAATATCTAAATTTAAAATCTAAATTAGACTTTTTAAGTTAATAGTAAATTTTGTCGGAATTGAAATCTTTCCTGATGTCATGTCATGCTGAGATTCCTACTTGATTAAAAAAGCGCATTCAAATATATTATTATATATAGTTTTTTTCTTATTATTCTTGATAAGCGAACTTTGGAAAAAGAATTAATTAAACTTCGTCTCCGCGCAAAAATTTATTCAAATGATGTCTTTATGTTGGATAATTTTAACCGAACCGATTTATTTAATTTTTTTATTTTTTATTTTTATTTTTTATGAAATATTTACAAGGTTAATCGCGATTATGTAAACTTAATTTACAAGTCTGTGAATGCATTTAAACAAGCGTAATGAATATGAAACTTGATGTCCCGATTATTAAACTTATTGCAATACTCCATATTCCATGGCTTCCATTCAAAATAATAGAATTACTATTGCCATAGTCTTGAGCAATGTCTGATGGCTCAGTCATGGGTGATGTCACTTTCTTTACGACGACCACCGTACTCGGAGGTATATAGGAAGCTAAGGTTGTAGGTTCACCCTGATCGTTTGTTGTTGTTACAAACTTCGTTGTACCAGGAATAACTGTCGTGAATGTTGTTGTAAAAGTCGTATATTTTGTTATTGGTTTTTTATCATCTTTATTATTCGGATTTATTGGAGTCGGAGTAGGAGTTGGGGTAATAACTTCGTCGGGCTCAGTCATAGTAGGTAACATTGTTCTACGTTTTTTTTTTTTTTTTAATTGGTAAGAAAGTGCCTTTGAATGAGGATTAGAGATATAAAAAAAAAATTTATTTTCCTATCCTTACTTCGTAGATGGTTGCTCATCTTGTTTCGGTGTTTCAACTTGCTTGGGTGTATCTACTTGTTTCGGAGTCTCATCTTGTTTCGGTGTTTCAACTTGCTTGGGTGTATCTACTTGTTTCGGAGTCTCATCTTGTTTCGGTGTTTCAA